TGACCACGTTTCATGCTAATAACAAAGTTAGAAAAACTATTTTTTATTAGTACATATTTGTCATACATATCGATCACATTCACTGTGGGGAATTTGTACCTGTACAAATTTTGTCTTAATTCCTTTCCCCCCCATTTCCTTCCCCACTCCATTTGAAAAAGCTTTGTTCCCATTTTTTCCTTCTATTCTTTCCTTTTCCCTTCCTTCCTTTCCCCTCCCCTTTCCCTGGTATGTTTTTCTTCCTAGAGATTTAAGTTACCCTCTAATATTCTTTCATTTCAGCCTGAGGAAGTCATTGCTTTCTTTAAAGCAGATTCTTTTCACAACTCTTATTTAAGAAAAATTTGGAAATGTCTTAATTTACTCTTCCAGTTTTGAAAGGTACTTTGCTGGAATTATTGACACTCCTTAGCACTCTGAGTGTATGATCTGTCTCCTGATCTCTGTAGTTCCTGGTGAGAGATCAGCTATTCTTATTGAAAACAGTCACTTTCTTGATTCCTCTAAGATAGTTTAACCTTGATTGTGTATTAGGGTGTGGATTTGTGTTTAACCTATTGCAGTTAGCTGTTTGAATGGGATCTTTTCATTGCATTTGGAGTTTTTAGCCATTGTTTGTACAAATATTTTTTTCCTCCCTTCATTATATGTATGTTGGTAAGCTAGATGGTGTTGTGTGGTTCTCTGGGATTGTGTTTTCATGTTTTGTCTTTTTTGTCTGTTTTTCAAGTAATTTATTTTCAATTTCAAAGATTTTCTTTTCTGCCTGATTGTATCTGCAGGTGAGCCTTGTTAGTGAATTTTTCCATTCCAGTTACCATACTTTAAATGTCAGTATTTTAGTTTGATTCCTTTGTATAATTTCTATCTCTGGTAATATTCTCTAGTTGGTAGGACATCACTGGTTCTATAGATATGATTTCTCTTGCCTCTTTGAACATATTTAATGTATCTTAATGTCTGTTTGTAGTATATACAACACCTGGGACTCCTCCTATCTTCCACCAATGCTATGGCCGTATTTTCTTGTTTGTGTCTAGCGTATGTTTGTAGAAAGTAGGCATTTGAGTAGCACTGCAACTTGGAAGATTCTTCCCCCTTTATAGTTCAGGCTGGCCTCAAACTCACTGGTGACCCGCCTGCCTCAGCCTCCCCTATGTACACCACACACATAGGTTGCTGACTGCCTTAGGTGTTCCTTGCTTAGTGACTGTTTGGGTGATTTCTGTGAAGTCTGTGTTCTTTCTCATGTGTGGTTATTGACGTTGCCTATTCGGGTGAGTCATCAGGTAATGAACAGATTTCCTTAAACCCCAGTCTTCACCGGAGGGTCTGCAGGCCACCATCCACACTCTGCAGGCTGTTTACAGTCTGCTTGTTTTTACTCCCAGCCTCTATGGAGCCCTTAATTCAACCAGAGGTCAGAGCTTCCAGCTCCTGAGATCTTTTCTGGCTGTGCATGTAGCATGTGTGCATTTCCAGGTTTCCAGGGGTATCTTGGAGCTTTTCTCAGCCATGACAAACACCTCATGCTTCAGCTTTTCTTTTAAGCTACTATAAAATGTGGCAGCCCGGAAGGAGAGGCAGGATGCGCCGTCTTCTCATCCATGCGTAAAAGACTCTTCAGGATAAACAATGTAATAAAACAGCGCCAGCCCTTGGGCCTCGCTGATTTCAAGGCTGCACGTCAGCTGTGGGAAGCAGGGAGGCTTTACCGGGAGCAGGCACTGCGGCGTGCCCTGCTCACATGGAGCACCTCTCTGCTGCACTGTGCTCTGCTGGAACTGGTGCATGTTGTCTGCCCTGCTATCAATTCCAACTCTCCATCAATTCCAGCGACGGAGGCAAGCTTTACTGAGGACAGTCTCCCTGAACGCTAACCAGGATTTCCTGTGACCTTCCCATCTCACCCTTCATCCTTGTTAACTGCAGTGAGGTCGTCTCTGTCTAGAGCAACAATTCTTAGCAGTGATTAAACTCAGACTGTCAGAAATGGTTGCTCCCAAGACAGACCCCTTAGAACCAGGCACTGCGAAACAGGGCTTCGCTCCTTTTTGTCCAGTATTTCAATGTGTACACGTGCAACAGCAGGAAGGTGACCACTGTCGTTTCCAGCCTGAGACCTTGCCCAAAGACCTTGGCGCTGGAGGCTGTATTTTCAAGGTGACTACTAAGCCAGGAGGCAAGAAATGCAATTAGGATAAACTAAAAATGCCACAGAGCTTGTTCTTCCTGGATGAAGTCTTCATAAACCTTGGCCTTTGGCTAGCTTCTGTTCTAGTTTTCATTGCTTTTCTGGAAGGGCAAATTTTCCCATCTCTTTTGCCGTTTCCTAGGCCTGAAAAGAACCTTGGTATGGCAGTACTTCCTACAGCAGTGATGATAGCATTTTCCTGCCACGGATTCATGAAGAATGCCTGACCAAAGAAAAATATTAATATTAAGGGAAGCGATGCTAAGGTTTCTTTCCAGCTGTGGTTCAACTTACCTTGAAGGCTACTCACTAATTTGTAATAGAAAAAGCCTGTTTTAGTTTTCTTGTAAGTGTAGCTGGCAGTGTTTCTCTTTTTTCTCTTCTTCCTCTCCCTGTCTCTGTGCTGGGGATCGAACCTAGAACATACCGCTGAATTTCCTTAAGATGAAAGTTCTGTCACTATGGAAGAAGCAGCTGGGATGCAGTCCTTTATTAAGTTTTTACTTCTTAAGAGATGGAAACATTACCTAGAAAGATGCAACCTAGCAATCAGAAAGGTCACAATGTCAGAAAATTACACACACTGATTAAACTTAGTTTTTTCTGGTAGCGAGAATTGAACTCAGGACCTTGTGCTTGCCAGGCAGGCGCTTGTGCCACTAAGCTATATAACCAGCCCTTGATTAAACATTCTTAACACAGGCTTATTTCTCATAGCACATTGAGAAGCTTAAAATTAAAATTTTTAACTGGCTAATCCGCAAAACATCAGGGAAATATAGGAAGAAATGCGCTCTTTCTGAAAATTGGGTAGGCCAGTGGTTCTCAGCGGTGCTATCACCACTCACTGGTTTGCACAATCAGTTGTTGGAGGCAATGTGAAAGTATTAAAGTTTATAAACTGTCTAATCTGTCTTTATGAAATCCTTTTTTATAATTATCTAAAAAAATTAGGGGGTTACACACATCGCTGTCACCACAGACCCTGCACGTCTGTCTGGAAGGAAACAGTTAAAAGGGGCTTGTACATGATTTCTCTTCAGAACTTTTTTTTTGGTACCAGGAATCAAACTCCGGACCTCGCGCTCGCCAGGCAGGCACTGTGCTGCTGAGCTACATCCCTGGCCCTCTTCAGAACTTCTGCACAAGGCCTGTCCAGTACAGCCGACTGCACACACTCTGTTGTTGATTCTCATAGTTAAGAGTCACACTCGACTAGAGGTCTGTGATGGCTCAGAAACTTTCAGGTCAACGACACAAACCATGTATTTAACATCTGATTTGACAGCTTTCGTTTACTACATTTTGCATTCAAGAGTTAAAGGTGCAGTCTTGCCTGTGGGAAGTTAGGCCTACATTTCATAAATATATTAACTGGAAACATGTCTCAAAGTACATTGTGACATTTTCAAAATCAATGAAATAGTTTATTTGTAAAATTTTTATATGGTACGATCAGAATCCTTATAGCCACATATATGCTATTTTACGTAAATGTTTTTATTTCAATAAATTATCACATTATATTTAAAATAAGTATCAGGTGCTGTAAAACATTAAATGCCTCAGATTGTGTTGGTTCCTGTTGAGATTAATTTTAATTCAGTCCTTTCACCGTTTGCCTTTTAACCTTTCCAACTACCAAATGTTTCTTTTTTGCTTACATACTTAATTTATAAAGGTCACTCGAAAAATGTTGTATCTGTTTCCCAGAAGACTATTTAGGAAGGTCTCAACAATATGCTATAAAAGACGCTCATCGGGCTGGGGATATAGCTTAGTGGCGCAAGTGCCTGCCAGGCAAGCGCAAGGTTGTGAGTTCGATTCCTGACACCCGCCCCCCGCGGAAGACGCTCATCTTCTGCTAAGCCTTGCTTTACCCACTTTGCTCTGGATGTGAACTGAAAAGGTGGTTACTGAATGAGCAAACACACGCAGACACCAGGCATTCCCCCCACGCCCAGCAGATTTTCTGTCCATTTTCAGGCTTAGTAAATTTCCTCCTTCTGCCCCCTCAATCTATAAAATGAATTTTCAAATGATATAAACCAACTAAGAATTTTATGCTTAGAAGAGTGAGTTAAAAACAAAGTGTATTTGCCAGTGCTGCTGGTGTTTCGCTTGCTGCGGTGACACACCCATTACCAAAGCCCAGGGCCTGATGAAAAGCAGAAGCCAGTACAGCAAAGCCCCCAGTGGACTGTAAACACGACGGGATCATCAAGAAGAGTCGTCAGGGGAGACTCTGTACTCACTTCCTACTGCTGCGTAATAAATTACTGCAGCTTTAGTTCTTAATGCAACTCATTTATTATTTCTCAGCTCGGTACGGCAGAGGTCCTGGCAGAGGCCCTGGCACAGCTCACACAGCCCAAGTGCAGCTGTCAGCGGGGGCTGCGGTGTCATCAGAAGGTTGCAGTGCTCTCAGTACTTTCAGCCTCCGTCCGCGGGCGGTACACGAGGACCCGCGTGTTTCCGGTCGGCTGGAGCGGCAGGGTGGCTCTCCTCTGCTCCCGGAAGGTCCTGTGCGCGTGGCCCTCGCACAGCAGGACGCTCCTCCCTCCAGGCGCACAGGAGGCTCTCTCCTTCCGTCAGGGTCCCCCTGACTCCCAGGCCCATTCCGCACACTGCCCTACTGCTCAGAGTGAGCTGGCTAGGGCCCTCACCTGCATCTGCAAAATCCTTGCAGCTCTGCTGGACACTGGAGTCTAACAATGGCTGCACCACCACCGGCATTTCATCAGGGGATACTTGGTTTGTGGTGAACGCTGAAAACAGTGCCAACATGGTTTCATAACTGCATCTATAAATTCAACTGTTGTAGCACTTTAATAGTTAAAAATGTTGGTGTATTTTGAATCATTTACTTTCATGAGTGTCAGAGAAGCACAGTGGATATTAATCTGATGTTACAGATGAAAAAAAACAAGGCTCAAGGTAGCTAAGCGTTTGCCCAAAGTTTTCAGCAAGTAGTGGGGTCGGCTGGGCTTCGGACCACTACTCTTCCTGCTAACCTCGCCGTCTTCTAACGGTGCTTGGTGACGTCTGAAGGAAATGTCGCAGGGATTAATGTGGATCCCAGGCTGACGCTACGTGCGTAGAGCGCGGTGCTGACAGGATGGCTCTACTTCATTTGCTGGAGATTCAATGCGTGCCTTAATGACCACTGCACTGCCCCCGTGCTGCCTTGTTAAAGATAAAGCACGCTTAGAAAAAGTAAAGGTAAAAACGGCATAGGGAGCTGTATATAAAAAGTTACGAGTCTAGGGCTGGGGATTTAGCTCAGCAGCAAAAGCGCCTGCCTGGCAAGCGCAAGGTTGTGAGTTCGGTTCCCAGTACCGGAGAAAAACCAAAAAAAT